ATCAGGCAGGGCACAAAGGCCAACATCCTGTTCTTACCAAACGTCCCTTAACATTTGAAGACAGCAAATGCCCTGGACCTTCACTCTGTGCCTCTTCAGAAAGAAGGCAATTCCTTTAGACAAACTGGAGGGGACTTGGCATGTCAAACATCATGGAAAGAAGTGTCACCTAATGAATCCTTCCCATGCTTTAGGAAGAGGTTTTACATGACTGAAGAAGAGCTGCCCTCTATGCGTTCACCTGGCCCAACCTTGTTTGACCAGCAAGATGCTGAGAGCCACAGGCACAAGGTGAGAGATGGATGCTGCGCTTCCATGTGTGCATCTACCAACAACTAAGGTCACACAAAAATCCTTCATCAGGTGGACTCAGGTTCCATTTGCAGGTGCAGCCCTCATCATGTGTGGATTTCCTATACACAGATGGTAGGAAGCACCAAGGCTTCCAAGCACCAACAGCTCAGCCAACTGTGGATGGAGAACAGCAACTTCTAAACTCCATCTGCTCCTTTTTTGTCGCCTTCTGTACTCAGAAACACATTCACCAGAAGCACAAGCATACCAGGACAGTGACAAATTTTACCATCTCTGGCTTGTCATTTCAACAAGATTATATTATTTTAATATTAATTCATTACCCCATTTAAGTCCAATTAATTACATTTTTACAAGGCCCTGACATGGCAGAGATGCTGGAGACAGCCTCTGCTGAACAGCAGATGTAGCATCCCTGCTGGGGTCGAACACCTGCCCTGCAACCAGATTCCCCAGACCTTCATCAAGGACCCCCTTTTCCTACTTGGCCCTAATAAGGGAAAAAGAACACACCGAGATGGATCAATAGTTTTCCTTTTTGGTGGGACTATGTTCAGGGAAATAGTTCACTTCCAAAATTTCTCTACAGATGGTTGAAATCAGCGTTGATCTCCTGTCGTGGTTTAAACCCAGACAGGTAATTTGTTCGCTCACTTCCCCACCTTTCTTGCCCTCCCCCTGCTCTCGGAGGGACAGAGAGTAGAATCAAAAGAATGCAACTCCCACGGGTTGAGATAAGAACAGTTTAGTAACTAAGGTATAACAAAATCACTACTGCTACCACCAATTATAATAATGATAAAGGAAATAACAAGGGAAGAGAATACAGCACCTCACCACCCGCTGACCGATAACTCGGCCCCCAAGCCCGACCAAGCTCCGACCGATACCTCCTCCAACCCTGCAGTCTCCCAGCCCTTCCGGCTAACTCCCAGTTACATCCTGGGCATGACGTGCTGTGGTATGGAATACCTCTTTGGTCAGTTTGGGTCAGGTGTCCTGTCTCTGCTTCCTCCTGGCTTCCCCTCCTCCCTGGCAGAGCATGAGGCTCACAAAGTCCTTGGCCAAACCAAAACATCTCTATCAGCTCTGTTCCCGAGCCGAAAGTCAAAACACTGCACTGCACCAGCTACCAAGGAGGAGAAACATGACTGCTACTGCTGAACCCAGGACATCTCCCCATCTTCCTTGCTGGTAGGGGTGCCAGCCTATCTTCCCAACAGAAAGAATATTAAAAGCACTTTTCTTCTTGCTCATGGGGAGAGGCTGCATGAAAGAAGGGAACGCTCCACTGTGCCTATGGGATAGCAATAAATCATGAGAGCTCATGGAATTTGCATTAGAGTTCTTTAGTCAGGAACCAGCTTCCATGGGTCATGCGTTCCTCTCTTCAAATACACTATATTTAAGATGAGAAGACAAATGGAAATAATCATTACCTGAAGCATTCTCATTTCTACCTACGCTTAGCCACAATACACACATCATTACTTCTGTCAGCTCCCTATGAGCTGCCACCTACCTATTTGCTTGCAACTAAGCCTGAACTCCATCTCTAGCAGTGCCAGAAAAGAAAAATCTAGAGGTCTACTAGGACCATACAAGACAAAAAAAGGGAGACGTAAACAGAAATGGCCCGGAGAGAAATAGAGAAAACCTGGAAAAGCTATGGAGCTGGAAGAAAAAAGCAGAAGATGCAGCCTGAATACAGAGGAGGGAGAGTGGTGGTTTGTGTATGTGAAGAGTACAGGGAAGAGGAATGCAGAACTGGAGCAGATTCCCAGTCTGGGCAGTGATACCTTTCCAAAGCTGTTACAATCTGCGTCCCTGTTCCAGACACTCGGAGCCTCTCCACAGACGGCAGCCTGACTTTGGAGCACCCTGCTCATACACAGCCCACACCTGGGCAGCCACAGGGAGAGAGACACAAAGCCCTCATGAAGTCACAGCCCATTCCTGTACTGAGGCTGCCCCAAATCTGCCCCGTCAACAGCACACAACCCCACGTGCAAGTTTCTACTTGGCAAAAAGAGGGCATGCTGTTACAGCTCACATCATTCAAACCTCTGCTCTGCAATAACCCTGGTACCTGCTTTAACAAAGACTATTACAGCATAAATGAGAGGAAAGGACCACTGAATTATATGGCAAGTTGCCAGGATGTGCTGCAGCCGCCAGCGGTTATGCTCAAAGAGATTTAAAGTCCAGCATAACCTTGATTTTTAATAGAGTCACATTTAATGAGCTTTAACGTCCACAGTAATCATTTCCTTATTACCTATCCAGGAGTCTGAACCATGATCAGAAAAAACGTGCTGCATTCCAGTCCAATGAATTTAACACTGGCCAACACATTAGTATCAAAACCATCAACATCATTGTCCTTAATGCTTTTCTTTGGTTGGTCTAATTCTCTGAACCTCAAGCATCATTGCTGAAGATCACATAAGCTTGTTGAACACAGCAAACCTGCCTGGCTAGAGGCCACCCAAATCCCTCACCTCTGCCAAAAAGCCCTTTAGGCTATATGGCAAAATAGGACAGTAAAAGCTTACATTTACCTTTATAGTCAAAAGGCAAAATGCAAATTTACATATGACCTTTGTTGTCTTCCCAGCTTTTATCCATACTCTTCCTACTGTGCCCTCAGCCCCCCTTCATCCTATTCAACTCTGACACAAGAGACCTCCCACCTCAGAAGCTCAGAGAACTGAATTTGCCTCTTGCGTGTGTCATACAAATGAAATGGATAAACAGACATATGGGTATTGCAGCTGACAGAAAGGGGTGCAAGAAAAATTCCAATTCTTGTTATTTTTGCACAGAAACAGCTTCACAAACCTCACTGGAACCTGCTCCCTCATTATACACAATAAACCTGCCTCCCCAAGGCAGTCAATTGCACAATGACAAACAGAGTAGATGGAGTTTCTGCCACATGCTCCCCACTTCACACCTTGGAAATAGACTAAAATGGAAAGCATATGGCAGCCATTCCTGTGGGCAGAGCTGTTGAGATCCTAAGAAAACACTGAAAGCTGGATCTTCCATTTCTTATCCAGAGGGAGAAGACAGTGGAAATTTCCTGGCCATGCAAATCCATGGTCTTAAACCACAGGAACAGCTGTGGCATCCACACTGCAGATGCTGCATGAGTTAAGCAGGCTAGAGTCAATGCAAAAACAGATGCAGCTTGCATGGTGCACTTGATGAGCTGTCCCCTAACACACCAGGAGCTCTGCCCTGCCCAGTACATCTGGCTTTCATCTGGCTAATTCAGTGCTGTTAACCTTGCAGTCAGTGCCATAACGTCCTCAGCATCTCCTGAACATCCTGGTATACATGGTCTTCATCCTCCAACCATACTGATGTATACTCCCCCAGCAGAAGGGAGGGTTTAAGACTGTTTATGGCAATGTTTCCTGTGCATGACAGTGATGTACAAAAGTACATAAAATATAAGAAAAAAACTCAAGATCTTTCCATATAGCCTGGCTTACTATACATATGCCCTGGTCTCTACTATACATATGCCCTGGTCTCAAAGGGCTCACAGGGCTCATCCACGCTTCACTCCCAGCTCTTTTTCCCGTTTTGTTTACATGAATCACTTCCATATGCACTCACAGGCACTCCAAGAACGTAAAGGGCCCTCCTGTGACTTTGATAAATGACACTGAAGTATTTCCCACTCCACTAGGCTCTGCAGCCGATCTCTCCCATTCGAGTTGGTGACCAGAGGTCAGAATGATGTAGCATGGGACTGGGGCAAAAGGAAACAAACAGCGTCACATATATGAGAGGCTAGAACACCCTGGAACTCGGTGAGCTGTTTGTTTTCCTGTCAGAATCAAAGGCAGAAGAGAAAACAGCTTTAAAAATGCATCCCTTATGAGCTAATGACAAACCTGGTAACATCCCAGCACAGCAGCACCTCACAAACAACTAAAAGCAACTGCGTGAAAGGCAGCAGAATAATAATTCTGAATAACAAATCACAGGAGGCACACGTGAGAAGTGCATTCCCCCAGATGAAATGCTCTAATTACTGTGGATGATACCCCAGAGGTTCATTCCTCAGCAGCAGAGACACAGAGTTGACTTCAACTCTGCATCCTCCCTGACCAGCGCTCTCCTCCCTGGGCTCAAGGGGCACTGTCAGCCCTCTGGATCTGCAGCATTCATTAGATATGCCAGGTACTCGGGGGCATAACAACAGACAAGGGCATTAGGCAACAGCATCTGCTGTAATTTAAAAAGCAGTGCGTGTCAAATTCAAATTGCAATGCAAGAACCACCCCCAAGAACTGCTCCAGTCTCTGTGGGGTCTCAGACTGGAAGCTCCTATGGACAGTCTTCCTTACATATATGTGTAGTGTTTAACGCTTATGCACTTGTTAGAGCATCCACCAACAACAGTGACAAACTGTCATCGCACCTCTAACATCCAAACAGCTCTTCACTTTATAAACCACCCCATCTACACTTCTCACCATAGTATTTTTAAGGCTATATAGCACCATAATCCACTGTGAGATGCGGGAACAAACCCATCCTTAGCAGTAATAAAGTACCCTTGTTTGATCAATGGGAAAAGCAAGCTACTTTCAGAGAATTTTGATGCCATAACAGTGAAAGATACCTTCTTCTGGGTATATTCCTTAAACCAGCCATTTTGTGGATCCCAAATCTCCTTTGAGTGGAGCTCTGCCCTCCTGGCCCCATCAGAGGAGGATCCTGACCTCTGGCCACTGACTGTGTACATGCCGCAGAAACACCACAGGTTAGCTCCACACAGACATTTGGCTCTCCTTGTTTTTAATCTTTTCTAACAAAACTGTTTTGAGGGCAAGGTAGATGTGAAGAGTCACAGCAGGAAGATCTCTTGGGCTCTGCAGCATGACTCAAGTCTGCCTGGTGCCCGCACAGAGGGGTGATAGGTCATGCTTTCTTGATATCCTTACCTTGATTTACAGAGTCTGGGAGCATATCTGGAGGTGCTGACTTTGGGGTAAAAAGTCTCATTCAGGTATGTGAAGGGAAGACAGAATATACTGGAGGAGAGCCACAGATTCTGTGCCATGTATTTAGCTCAGTGAAAGATGTACTCTACTTTCATGGAGTATTGAATGTAGCTGTGATTAATGGGGCACATATACACTGATAAACAATATTAATTTGTTTTAAGCCAGGTCTGAAAAGAGTTCAACCACTTGCTTCCCTGCAGCTATGAAAGTTATTTCCTGCTGTCTGTACTACCTCAAAGGCTAAACCAGCCCTGAAAGGAAGGCAATATTTCCCTTTACTCCATCAGCAGCACCAGGCTATGAAGGCTGTTGCATTGGCATTTCATTTATCATGAGCAAATGATATGAATTATCATTATTTATCCTTACCACCTATCCTCTGTAGCAAACTGCCACAGGATTGCCACCACATTTACTCTCTCCTGCATCAACCCAGTGTTTTTTCATTTCCCTTATAACTGTTCCATCAAGCACACTGTCTGCAATGTCTCCATCTGCTTTTTCAGACAGCTCCTTTGGCAGTACGCATGAATAAGTGCATCTTCACAACCAGAAGCCAGCAGCCTACCTGCAATTTCTTGTGATGACTGTAAACTCCCAAGTCCTTCCAGATTCTCAGGGATGGAACCACCTCCTTCAAGCACCCTCACTGTCTCCTTCAGCCTTTCATATGCCTCCTGGAGCTGCTGGTGCTCCTCCTTACGCTGCTGCATGGCCAAGCTCGCTGGATTCATGCTGAAATGAAGAATTTTGGTTTTGCTGGGGTCATAGTCACCCTGTGTGGAAGAAACAACAGAAGCAGATTCAGTAACTGGTCCAACTAGACAGCAGTAAATATATAGACAGCAGTAGCCTGGTGAACATAAAGAAGGACTGCAGAGCCCTGGGAGAGCTGGTTAGGGGCTCTGGAGCTCAGATTGTCTTTTCGTCAATTCTCCAGGATACAGGGGAGGAGCCCAAAAAGGCTAGGAGGATTGCCCAGGTTAATAAATGGTTAGAAGGGTGGTGCCATAGTCAGGGGTTTGGGTGTCTTGAACACAGGACCCAAGTTAGTAGGCCAGGTCTACTGAGGGCTGATGGAGCTGGTCTAAGGGGAAGAGCGGTTTTGGTAGGAGGCTTGCCAGACTGGTCAAGGAGGCTTTAAACTAGATGTGTTGGGGGAGGGGGGCATCATTCCATCCCAACACTTCCAGTCGGTTGCCAGCACCTATATTAAATGCTCGGAGCACTGTAGAGATATCCCAGCCGCTCCAGCCAATGAGCCGGCTTCAGCTGGAGCTCGGCTCAGATGCCTCTATACAAACGCCTGTAGCATGGGGAACAAACAAGAGGAATTAGAGATATGTGCACATCTACGGGGGTATGATATAATAGGCATCACAGAAACATGGTGGGATGGCTCCTATGACTGGAGTTTTGGAATGGAAGGTTACAGGCTTTTTAGAAGAGACAGTCCCGGCAGGCGGGGAGGGAGAGTTGCCCTTTATGTTATAGGGATGGGCTGGAGAGTATGGAACTGTCTGGGGACAGGTGAGCAGTCCACAGAGTTTGTGGGTCAGGGTTAAAGGGAAAATAGCTATGGGAGACATTACGGTGGGGATCTGTTACAGACCGCCTGATCAAGGAGACCCTGCAGATGAAGCACTCTACAGACAGATAGGAACAGCCTCACGCTCGCAGGCCCTTGTTCTCATGGGGGACTTCAACCACCCTGACATCTGTTGGAAGGACGGTACGGCCTGGCACAAGCAATCCAGGAGGTTCCTTGACTGTGCGGAAGACAAATTCCTTCTGCAAGTAACAGAGGAGCCGACAAGGAGAGGTGCCGTGCTTGACCTCGTGCTCACCAACAGGGAAGGGCTCGTTGGAAATGTGACCCTCCAGGGCAGCCTTGGATGCAGCGATCACGAGATGCTCGAATTTGAGATCCTCAGGACAGTGAGAAGAGAGTGCAGCAAGCTCACTGCCCTGGACTTCAAGAGAGCAGACTTTGGCCTCTTCAGGAACCTGCTTAGGAAGGTTCCATGGGATACAGCTCTAGAGGGCAGAGGGGCCCAAGACTGTTGGTTGATATTCAAGGATCACCTGCTACAAGCTCAGGAGTGTTGCATCCCAACTAGAACGAAGTGCAGCAGGAGGGCCAGGAGACCTCCCTGGATGGATAAGGAGCTCCTCAGGAAACTTCGAAGGGAAAAAGAGAGTTATAAAAGGTAGAAGCAAGGACAGGAGGCCTGGGGAGAATACAGGGATGTTGTCCAGGAAGCTAGGGAGCTAAGGCCCAGTTAGAATTAAATTTGGCTAGGGATGTGAAAGATAACAGGAAGGGATTCTATAGGTAGGTAGCGAATAAAAGACAGACTAGGGACAACGTGGGCCCCCTCAGGAAGCTCTCGGGAGAACTGGCTACACTGGATTTGGAGAAGGCTGAGCTTCTGAATGACTTCTTTGCCTCAGTCTTCACTGGCAAAGGCTCTGACCACACCACCCAAGTCCTGGAAGGCAGACACAGGGACTGTGAGAATGAAGACGTTAGGCCCGCTGTAGGAGAGGATCTGGTTCGAGACCATCTTAAGAACCTGAACATGCACAAGTCCATGGGTCCTGATGAAATCCATGCATGGGTCCTGAAGGAGCTGGCAAATAAAGTTGCTAAGCCGCTGGCCATCATATCTGGGAAATCATGGCAGTCAGGTGAAGTTCCCGATGACTGGAAAAAGGGAAATATAACCCCCATTTTCAAGAAGGGGAAAATGGATGACCCGGGGAATTACAGACCAGTCACTCTCACCTCTGTGCCTGGCAAAATCTTGGAGCAGGTTCTCCTGGAAGGCATGCTAAGGCACATGAAAATCAACAAGGTGCTTGGTGACAGCCAGCATGGCTTCACTAAGGGAAAATCCTGCCTGACCAATTTGGTGGCCTTCTATGATGGGGCTACAGAACTGATGGACAGGGGTAGAGCAGTTGATGTCATCTACCTGGACTTGTGTAAAGCGTTCAACACTGTCCCACACGACATCCTTGTCTCTAAATTGGAGAGACATCAATTTGATGGATGGACCACTCGGTGGATAAAGAACTGGCTGGATGGCCGCACGCAAAGAGTTGTGGTCAATGGCTCAGTGTCCGGCTGGAGACCAGTAGCGAGTGGTGTCCCTCAGGGATGGGTGTTGGGACAGGTCTTGTTCAACATCTTTGTTGCTGACATGGACAGTGGGATTGAGTGCGCCCTCAGCAAGTTTGCTGATGACACCAAGCTGTGTGGTTCGGTTGATACGCTGGAGGGAAGGAATGCCATCCAGAGGGACCTTGACACGCTTGTGAGGTGGGCTGATGCCAACCTCATGAAGTTTAACCATGCCAAGTGCAAGGTCCTACACCTGGGTCAGAGCAATCCCAGGCACAGCTGCAGGTTGGGCAGAGAAGAGATTCAGAGCAGCCTTGCAGAGAAGGACTTGGGGGTGTTGGTGGATGAGAAAATGAACATGAGCCGGCTTCAGTGTGCACTTGCAGCCCAGAAAGCCAACCGTATGCTGGGCTGCATCAAAAGGAGCGTGACCAGCAGGTCGAAGGAGGTGATCCTGCCCCTCTACTCTGCTCTCGTGAGACCTCACTTGGAGTATTGTGTGCAGTTCTGGTGTCCTCAACATAAGGAGGACATGGAACTGTTGGAACAAGTCCAGAGGAGGCCACGAGGATGATCAGGGACTGGAGCACCTCCGGTATGAAGACAGGCTGAGAAAGTTGGGGCTATTCAGCCTGGAGAAGAGAAGGCTGCGTGGAGACCTCATAGCAGCCTTCCAGTATCTGAAGGGGGCCTATAGGGATGATGAGGAGGGACTCTTCATTAGGGACTGCAGTGATAGGACAAGGGGTAACGGGTTAAAACTTAAACAGGGGGAGTTTAGATTGGATATAAGGAAGTTCTTTACTGTAAGGGTGGTGAGGCACTGGAATGGGTTGCCCAGGGAGGTTGTGAATGCTCCATCCCTGGTGGTGCTCAAGACCAGGTTGGACAGAGCCTTGGGGGGCATGTTTTAGTGTGAGGTGTCCCTGCCCAAGGCAGGGGGTTGGAACTGGATGATCTTAAGATTCTTTCCAACCCAAACTATTCTATACAATTCTAACCTGTGCCACTCTTTGTATGAAGACAGAAAGTGTTACAGCAGAAAACGGGACATTCATGCAGTGACAATGTTTTATTCCAGCAGTTGAAGCCAGCCAAACCCAGTATTGCTTCTCATGCTCTTGCTACTCTTTCTAAAAAAGAAACTGGCCAAAAACCACCGCCAAAACCCCCACTCAGCAGAGCTTGCTCCCTTGCTGCCACCTCCACAGTTAAATTTACCTCCAGAAATGAAATTTTATAGCTGCATTTTACACCTCTTGATAGCAGGAGATGATAATGAGCACACAGATACACCCTTCAACTACAGCAGGACACCCAGTACTAGCCTAATTTATTACAAGCCAGCAACATCCAATGGTAGAGTCATTAGCAAGTTGTATCAGCTCATCCCAAGCAAGTGAGTACATAGTGAATGTGAATTTGATGCTCTTTTCTCAGAGGTGAGTTGTATTTATAGCAGTTTAAATAGTCAGTCAAGTCCTATGCTAGCAAATTAATATTCTTTCAAAGTGAGAGGAAAACACTGATGTTACATTTATGATTTCAGAGAGACAATTTCCATATAAACCACAGGAAGCCTCACGACCACAGAAGCAGTAAAGCTTGTGCTAATGTTGGCTTCCACGGCACCGTGCCCAGTGAAACCCAGCAGCACCGCCTGCAGAAAAAGGTATTTTATATGGTAATGCTTTGCCTTCAATTAAATCTCAGGACCTAAAGTGATTTGTAAACATTAATTAACCATCAAGAGCAGCAGGAGGTGGGTATTATCCCAATTTTATCATTTCATTTTCATTAAAGATGTGCTAGAACTTTATGTGGGTTGTTTTGTCATGCAAACCAAAGCAGAGCCTGAGCAACTGCATCCTGACTTGTTGGTCGTTGCTGGGAAGAGACCCCAGGAAGATCCCATTCCCAACATCTTTTATGGAAAACGCTCTGTCCGCATTGTGTAAAGCACCTCTGCCTACAGTGGGAGGGAACTGCCTGACAGCAGACACAGCACTGGTTCAAACATGGGTTTGGCAAGGTTCATGGACAACAGCTCCACAACTGAACCCTGCCAAGGGAGGGTGGGGGTTCATTCTCCAGCATCTCTGGCTGCCGGGAGAGGGCTGTGGAATGTGTGGACTCTCCCAAAAGAGATCTTCCATCACTGTGGCCAGAGATGCTCTTACGGGCTGCATGGACAACGGGTAAGGACCGCTGGGTGCCTTTGGATGTTCACATGCAATGTTTGCTACATCTCACAAGTGTTCCAGTGCTCTCCTTCTGGAACCATACTGAAATTCTCCTTTAAAACCTCACTTTCCAGTTAGCCAGGCAGCAAGCAGCAGGAAGAGGTTTCCTCACCCGCAGAGATGCAGGCTGTTGTGTTAAAAGTAGAGACATTCGGCACAAAATCAACTTGTGATGCAGCCAGTCCTCAGAGATCAGAGGGGCTGGGGGTGGCCAGCTTTAATTTCTGATTAGAACCAATTTGGCATGATACATCTGGTTGTGTTCAGTAAGAACTGCTATGGAATGTGCCTAGAAACCAGCAGATGCTATCACTGTTGTGTTGCCCAAAGGCAAAAAAAAGGGGGTGGGAGTGGGGGTACAGTTGTTCCCCCTAACTACACTGAGAAATCACTATGTTGTGAGAAACTGGGAGAAATCAGTTTAACCACTCAGGTCCATGGTGGTGGAAGAGGCAGTCACTACTTCATGGTGTAAGTACAAGTTAAAAACAAAGGGAGTGCGTATCTGTGTATGTCCCAGGCCAAGAGGGGGTTGGAGGCACCCCTTACCACAGGAAGACACAGGAACCCCCAGTGGGCTGCCCTGGTCCAGGTAGCTCACTCCAGGGAACTTGGGAAAGTCAGGCATGGAAACGCTGGATACCCTGCCTAGCTGTCTGCATTCCCCACAGTCACAGTACACGGTCTTCCAGCCCTGAGCCATATACCAAGCAGGTAATGCACATTCTCATACTGCCCATGCCTTGTGGTGCTCAGGAGACCTTAAGGAACACCCAGGGGGCCAGTGCTATTCTGCAATCCCATAGCAATGGGCTTTTGTGACCTCATTTTCACGGGAAGGTTGAGACAAGCAACCTGGACCTGACAGACAGGGCATTAGGACCAAGAAAAGAAATAATCCCACTGACAGCCTTGGCCAAGAGAAATTTAGGAGAGAACTGAAGAACTGGGACCGATGTTGAACAGAGGGAGCATGAAGACAGCTGTAACACCAGCTTATTAGATATATTCTCCCCAGCAACACAGTGGCATTTACAAGCCTGTTTCTGCACCCAGCTATCTAAATTCTTGCGCTACTTGCATTTCAGGAGTCTCCCAGACAGGTCAGGGCACTCCTCACTCTTGTGTTTGCCTTTCAAGGGAAGAGATTCAACCCCGAAGTTTTTGATGGGTTTTACACTGGCTGGCAAATGATGCCCTGAAAATCAGAGCTGCACAACCATGTACCACGGTATTTCTGACAAGCCATGAAGCTCTGGCCCCATCTCCCTCGCTGGCTGCAGCACCAAGGTCAGGCAGGGATCACTTTTACTTGGTGCAGCTCCATCCTGCACCATCACAGCAGGTGCTCACGCAAGGCATGAGGCAGCAGAAGGATCTGAGTGTGGAGGAAAGCCATGCAAACCTGGAGCCTGCTGCTGCCTTCTTGCCAGGGCTGCTTTAACCCGCACTGCACTAGGCTGTTTATTTTGCAGGTTATTTATTCCTTTAAAACACCTCTCTGGCCTTTCTATAAAGCCCTGCCATGAAGCTGCATTGCTCTGGCTATTATAGCTCTTTCAGTCCATTTATCCTCTCCTTTTATATAACACACCTCCTTGAAAAATCATGCTCTAAACCTCAGCACTAAGACTCAGTCTTATTTTCAGGACTCACCAATGCTCCTGAGCACGTCAGTCTGTAGCTAAACTGAGACAGGAGATTCTCTTAAAAGCTCACTGTAAGACGAAGGCTGTTGCAGAATCCATCTCATTTAACATTTCTGGGAGATCACTAACATATTTTCTATGCCACTCACATATTGGGGCTAGGGGCAGTAGCTTTCTCTTTATTCTACACAGCACAGATCAAACCAGTACATTTCTCCCTACAGCTAAAATATTAGTGCTGCCGGTTTATAGTATAGAAACATGTAAAAGAAACCAAGTGAGACAGGGATCCTGGCATGAGAGATCCTGTACAAACAACTCCACAACAAACTACCATCTAAAAGCCCAAAAAGAGACAATAAAGGCTGATGGTATGAGGATGATCAGGGGACTGGAGCACCTCCCCTATGAAGACAGGCTGAGAAAGTTGGGGCTGTTCAGCCTGGAGAAGAGAAGGCTGCGTGGAGACCTCATAGCAGCCTTCCAGTATCTGAAGGGGGCCTATAAGGATGCTGGAGAGGGACTCTTCATTAGGGACTGTAGTGATGGGACAAGGGGTAACAGGTTAAAACTTAAACAGGGGAAGTTTAGATTGGATATAAGGAGGAAGTTCTTTACTGTAAGGGTGGTGAGGCACTGGAATGGGTTGCCAAAGGAAGCTGTGAATGCTCCATCCCTGGTGGTGTTCAAGGCCAGGTTGGACAGAGCCTTGGGTGCCATGGTTTAGTGTGAGGTGTCCCTGCCCATGTCAGGGAGGTTGGAACTGGATGATCTTAAGGTCCTTTCCAACCTGAACCATTCTATGATTCTATGTGAGGGGAGCAGAGGTATGGAAAGATGCAGTCTCCAGTTCAAGGCTCTGGGAAATTTATTGCCATCCTACGGATTTCCAAATAGATGCAGGAAGCTTTCCATGGAAACGGTGCAGACCAGAGCCAGTTTCTGATGGAAGGGAACAGTTGCAGGTGTATGGGATACCAGACGTCCAAAACAGAATCACAACTTCAATTATTTGGAGTGTCCTTCCAAGTTTCTGAAGGTTGGGAGTGACTTTGGTTGGCTCTAGGAAGAGTCATGGCTGGAAAGCAGCATTCAATTCTCACTAGCATTTGAAGGAAATGAAACCCTAATGCTGGTAAGAAACCAGGGACTGGAGAAAGCAAACAATGTTCTCCTGCAATCCCTTTAGCTCTGGAAAACACAAATAGCTGCTTTTCTCTGTCAGCTGCTCTTCCCTCCACAATAAATTAAGTCTTATCAGAATTCTGTCCTTTCAGCTCTGCAACAGAAGCCTGGAAAATGGTGTTTTGGACGCTGGGTGAGAAGCTCTAAACCAGATTTGCCCATTTAGAAAATCATTTCTAATCTGGGGCTACTGATGAGGAAGACCAAATGCCACCAAACAGAGGCATTTGAAAGGAGGGGTACAGAAGAGGTGGCCACGCTCTTTGAACAGGAGCAGTGCAACTGTCCAGGAGCAGATCCAGATGCTGCTTCTGTGCTGAACCAACACATGGCAGGAGGTACTGCTTAGCAGAGTTAAAAAGCATCTTGCAACAAATGCGAGTGTATCCCTGGCTTCTCCAAGAAGTATGGAACGTGTGCTTCAGGCTTGGAAACGTGGCCTGAATGTAAGAATTGACTAAATCAGTTTAAGCTCATCGTGTCTTTATACAGAACTATGAGACATTTGGGAGATGCAGTCAATATATGACCTATAGACAGCCCCTTTATTGGAAAGCCACCCTGTCCCTGGTTCATTCAGTAGATCATTCTGCTCACAGCACATCATGGCCAATGTCTCAAACAGGGCAGATGGCACGCTACTGCTAGTTTCTCAGCATCACCCCATCTGTACCCCTATTTTTCCCAATACTTTAAAACATGGAAATTGTAGAGATGCTGAAAAGTAAATAACTTGCACTACATAGAACTGCTGGTGCTCATTGATTCTTCTTTCAAGGAATAACACTGAGCTGGTAAAGCAGATTTGTCAGAAAAATGTACAAAGAGCTTCAATTTAGGAGGAAGCAATAAATACCTTGATTGATTGCAACCAAGTCAGGCTGACACTTAGTAGAAGAGTGAATTATTCATTTCTGGAAAGCAAGATGCTAACTAACTGATTTGGTGCTTAAGGCAGCAAAACTGTTTCCGTGCTCTCAGAAGGGCATCGGACATTTTAGAGAGATGATTTGTTGACTCACCATGTTAATATGTTCTGGTTTGTGAAATAATGTTGTTTTGATGCATTATCCTCAGCCTTCCAGACATGTGCCCCAGGGTCTGCATGAGGAAAACTCTCTTGCATACCACTGAGAAGAGTCACCCCAGCACTTGTGTCCCCACTGCAGAGGCATTACGTGAGACAGCCACCACAGATGCAAGACACAAATGTTGCCCCAGTGCAATATGTTCTAAACACACTCTGGGACGTGGGACACTCCGATGATCAAAAAACTTTCTGACAAAGGACTATGGAAAAGAGAGTTTGACACATTTGCCATCCAGAACAGAAGAACAAGCTCAAGTCAGATGCTGCGGCTTTCCTCCCTTCCCTGTTGTATCACCCAGCTGGCAAAAACCACCCTGAGGAGATAACTGCTCTGATGGATTGTGTCATTTTTCAAACTACCTTATTGGCAAACAGTCAGTATGTTGGGCTACGTGTTGAAATTACAGCTCACAAACTTCCTAAGTACTTTCCCCATTAGGGAAGAATCAGTCAAGTGACGAAGCAATGAATGAAGACAGGATTGCTTTAATCTCTGAAAACCAGAAACTTTTCCTTTAGAAGAGGAGTTGTTCAGAAGAACAATGAAAGCTGTGGGTGACAGCACCTTGAAAAGGCCTGAACTTATTCTGGCGTCTCTCCTCCTGGTTGTTTGAATACTGCGCAGTCCCAATTCAGGGATGTCTTTCTCCAGGAGCTATAAAAGCTTTTCTTTCCACTCAACTCACTTTCACAGGCCCACAGGTAAGAATAAAGTACTTAAAACGATGCGGACTACTTTACATTTGATGAAACGTTCAGTGCTTAACGACTCCATTTAAGATCTATTCATCTACTGCAGGTATTTCTAATCAGAAGGTAGAACTGGTAGCAAAGGGAATAGTTTCAGCTGTTGTGGATATGTTTATGTAACATCAGTAATGAAGTTAAAGAAGTTCACACGTCCCAAGGAGGCAGTGACTGTCAGGATACAATGCCAGCAAGCACTGTCAAGGATTTTCAACTGCTTTCACATCCTCGTAGGCTCCTCCTGTTTAATGCATTTGAAAACAAAGCTGCCAAAACCCATAGATGAGGCTGGCGTACACTTAAGTGCCTGTTTTTTTTCAGTCTTCATGTCTATCAACCTTAAAAGATTGTGATTTCTGAGCAGCACAATCAATTCTGGCAGAGCATATGGACAGCTGGGTTTAATCGCTCCTCGCTTGCAGTGCAACAGATTGTGCTTGCCCCTGCTGAGAAAAGGCTGACAATTGGAAGCTCTTCAAGGGAAGGACCGTTTCTTCTTTGTGTGACTCTCACATACAGTGAGCACCACCCAAACACAAGCGATACACACCGATGCTTTCTGAGCTAAGGAACGTTTCCATGCTGACTTCTTAAGAGGAAAACCTCTGAGATTTCCAGACTGGGACACATTATTCAATACTTGGGAACTTAGAAACAATCTTAGGAGCTTAGAAGACTGCATCAGCTTTAAAGAAATGATGGGTCAGTAGTTACCTTGGAAGGACATCTGAAATAGAGACTTCATCTATCTGTAGGAGACAGATGGGAAAGTTTCTTAAATACAGATACAAAGCATAAAGCATCAATTGGAAGGGTGGTGCAAGGGGAGTGTTTGAAAGGCATCCAACTAGCCAGGGAATGCTCTCGCATCCATTTGCTACCTTCTGGAGGCAAAAAGTAGCTTAAATTGTGAACATTAACACACGGCAGATAATTGGGTATACGCATGTGGTGGACGTCTGAAAGTGAACTTTTGAACTCCCAAGCAGAAGATGTTACTTGCTTATTGCAAGCACAGCATGTCTGTAAATTTTGGTAAGACCTGGACTAAACCAAAAGGGGCATATCTTGAATCCTCCAAACACAGAGACATGAGACAGAATCACTGCTTAGGGAACTGATCACAAGCTGATCAATGAGTTAGACTATTTAGACAGGGAAAACCAGGGGCTTGGGGTTCCAGAAAGAAAGGTGGTGCTGAAAAGAGGGGTTCCCAAAAAAAGAGAACTGGCCCCAGAAAGAAGAGAGCTTTCAAAGAAGGTGACGATTCTGGAGGGCTGAGGGCTGCAGGAAAGATGCTGGAATTCAGTGCTTCCTCCTGACCACAGAACCTATACACGTTTCAAGCTGTAACAGAAACGCATGACTTTGCTAAGGCTTCAGGTTTCTGGAATTAACAGGTTTGCTCCTCCATAACCACGTGGTATTTGTGAGGAAACACAGGCACCAAGGCACAGGGCTCTGCACACAGCTAATGAATACCATGTTGCTTTTACTGAATTATGAAACCGGAGAAGTCACAAATCATCTTAAAGTCACAAATCATTACAAGTCATCTTTGAATGTATTTATCGTCAGCTTACACTTAGTGCTATAGCATTCATGTCAAGAATTGTCCACTGGTAGTCTTCCACCAATACCCACTGTAAATTTTACTCCAAGATGGAGACCAAAAACCCAGTGTGAATGCAAAACTGGAATTTACCAGAAAGGCACAGGCAAGGTCCCCAACAAACATAGCTCTTGTTGCAGCAGCTTATTCACTAGGGCTCACTATGCAGGTGAGCGGCTTCTCCTCATCTACCTTGACTCTATTTTTAATAGCTTTTTAAAACCAAACCCGAAATTGGTTACTCAGCTCTCTCCTACAAAAGGCTATAGGAGGCACTTCTGCATCTAGTAGCAGGCAGCCTGGAAAGCTTAATCCTACCTCAGGAAAGAGCCATTTTAATGGAAATTCTGTTTCTTGGTTTTGTTCCTTTTGTTTCTTTGCTCAGGCTTGTTAAAGTGATTAGAGTAAAACCCACAGTAAACTGCATCCCAAAGAATTCCCTCTGTAGCCGGTGCACAAAGCGCAGCACGCTCAGCAGCCCCAGCTCCCTCTGTCACAGAAGATAACTACAGCGAGGGATCTTTAAAGCCCTCAGAACAGGAGCCGTATTAACAAAAATGGATTGCAAAGATGAGACAAAGCGAGCTAACAAATAAGCAACAACCACCACCTGCTCCTCGCAGCTTTGCCAGTGTGCACGCTTGAAATCAGGAACAGTTGGAGGTAAAAAACAACCCAGAAGGTGCTGGGTGTTGGGCAGAGGCTCACTTGTTGCCACCAGGTCTCATGGCGATTCCCTTCCCTCTTTCCCACTCTTTTTCTCTCTCCATCGTCTATCTTTGCGTGTACATCTGCAGCATGCACAACCCTGAAACCTGGCAGCAGAAATTCACTTGGGCAACCTTTACATCCTTCTCTTAGCCAGTTCTTGGCAAATTCCTGCTGTTTCTTTTCCAAACCAGCAAGATCTTTCTCCCTGCCTCAGTGATGTGACCTCTTGTCCACACACCTTGATTCCGGGAACCCTTCTCCTGAACACCCATGTTAGTCATTTCCAGAACAGCAAAGGTAAAGACAATCTGAGTTGTGCCCCTTCATCCTCAGTAACTCCTCTACTGTTCCCACCAGCTGAACAGATTTCAGGGTCCTTACCCTCACAAGCAATGACACCAGTAATCCCATATTAACTTCTCCACTCCATCAGCAAATGCCACCTTCGATACCTGGATCAGCTGCTTCTCCCGCAAGGACTTCCACAGGGCTTTTTCTTTCCCTTCCTGAGCTGACCTGCCACAACTACACATACTCATTGATATTCCTGCCTATGGCTCTCTTTTACCACAGCATCTACAGCAAATTAGCAATGAGTCAGAGTTGGACTTGGGCTGTATCATGGACAGAAAAGCTCTAATCACCTAATCACACTGCTCTAACACCAGACCACATCTTTGGGTACAACATATAACACATTCTGGGCACTGCTGCAATACAAGTAATAAAAGAAAATGTCTCAGCAGTGGTGCTGAAGCCCTTCAGGTACAGTTTTAAATAGGAAATCTTTCCTTTATACCCACTTTGAAATGCATTATCCCCTGGAGGATGCAAGACTATAATTTGCATTGAGTGAGGCATTCAGATGAGGTCAGGGATGCAAACAAACGTGATCGGAAGGTTAAGAGTCAGGACAGTAAGACATGGAATGGTGTGGAGTTGGGATAATCTGAGAGACAAAATGCATTCAAACGTTCACTGTCCTTTTCAACTGCTGCTCTTCCTTTTACTGAAATGGAGGAAAATCACAGTCTGCTCTGGGATGGTTTGTTACCACCTGGAGCTTTGAATTCCAGGGTTTCTACGCCAGCTGTTTCAAGTCCAGAGAACAACGTCCATAAAAAGTTGCTATTATTTACACCCTGGTAGTGTGCAGAGAAGACCTGTGATGGTTCAAAACCCTCTGACAGACAATGAAAGTAAAAAGCAGTTTGTCAGTTCTGAAAACAGCCCCAAAGAGCTTTTAGTTTGAGTTACAGGAATTCTTTTTCAGAAGTAAGACTTAACTTCATGGTGAGAAACTCTGGTTCTCACAGATCTGAATTTCAAAAAACATTTTATCAACTTCCCCATACAAATGAAGTCACTTTGGCCAAGAATACTGTCGAGAAGTGTCAGAGCAGACCGAGCTGGTGAAGAGAAGTGCACACAGTTCCAAATGCAAGAAATTAAACTACTGCTTTGTTGTTCTGCTTTCTTTATTCTGCAAGCAACATGCACATGCAGATACTGTACAACAGACAAGAAAGAAGATATTTGAAGTGAAGGGAGTTTGTAGTATTTACCCCAATCCAGATACTCAACCATTCAAAGCTTTCCCTCCCAGTGATGCTCTATAAAATGCCTCCTTAATTCTGCATTTCCTGGTAAAGCTCTACTTTGGAATGAATTCAGGTGGGTTTTCAAGGGGAGATCCCAGAGTAGAAAAGCAGCACAAATTGGTTGTGCCAAGCTGGTACCCTCAGTGTTCAAAGTGAAGTACAACAGAGGTCCCTCTTTCTAGACTTCATAAAGGGAAGGAGAACTGCAATGTAATAAGATTTTCCAGTTATTAATATCTCATTAGAACAAACCCAAAACCTCTATGGGTATTTTTTTAGATAGTATCTTATATAAAGATGAATAATTACAAATTATGCAAAAGCCACAGCCTTCCAATCTGATGGTAGGACCCATCTAAGCTCAGCTGAGCATACAACAGCCTAAAACATAAGTGACAAAAATTGCTGTCTATCATGTTGTGTATTTGTACAGCCAACACTGCACAGGCTGATTGCTGAGGTTAACCACAACAGCATTAACAGCAATGCTGAGACTTCCTAAAGGCTTCATGTTTTGATCCTGTAATTTCATGTGTATGACAGTGCTATTATATACCCTTGCATGTATAACTCTGACCTGGCAGGGTACAAAGCTCCCCATGCTTTCAGTGAATGAACATGCAGCCTCAGCCTTGGCCACAGCACAGAGCTAACCCGTTGTTGTTGTTAACAGACTCCCTGCCTCAAGCTGGAAGCAGTTCCACTTAAAGAGCAAGTCAAGTTGCCTTTCACATCATATAGAAACTGTGACAGACACAAATGGTTTGGAGGACTCATTTCTGACAGTCTCCTCGAGCAGCAGGGCAGTGTCTGAGTGGGTTTTATAGCAAACATGCTCCAGGTTAAACAAGCTCCACTGCAGCCTCTCACTGAGAGAGGTTATTGCCTCCCACACTACTCCTGTGCTGGCCAAGCAGAAGATAATAATGAGGAAACAAAACATGTCCTTGCAACACACTGAGGGGAAGAGGAGCTAGGGAAGAATTGCCAAGTTCTATTCTTTTTGTCACAGCCACTTCTTAGCGATGTGGTGTTTGTCTTGACACAGCTTTGCCCCTGGGGAGAGCTCATCTTCCCCACC